TTATTTATTATTATTTTTTTGAGATGGTCTCACTCAGTTGCCCTGGGTAGAGTACCATCCTAGCTCCTAGCAACCTCAAACTCTTGGGCTCAAGTAATCCTCCTGCCTGAGCCTCCCGAGTAGCCAGGATTACAGGTGCCCACTACCACACCTGGCGAGTTTTTCTATTTTTCGTAGAGACAGGGTCTCAGTCTCACTCAGGCTGGTCTTAAACTCCTGAGCTCAAGTAATCCACCTGCTTAAGCCTCTCAGAGTGCTGGGATTATAGGCATGAGCCACTGCTCCCAGCCAGACCCTCAAGCTCTTTGAGACCTAGTTCCTCCCCTTTCTTCTTGGAGTCCTTCCAGTTTTCTGTTAGCACACCTCTAGCCAGAAATGATTTCTTCCTCTTTGGCACAGTCCTTTTTTGTAGTAGCAGAAGTTCTCATAGCACAGTATAATTTCCCCAAGAGTTTCCTCACCATTGCAAAAGTAAAGGCCATTTTCTGAAATTAAAAAAAAAAAAAAGTGTGTGTGTGTGTGTGTGTAGTAAGTTCTAACACAGGCGTCCTCAAACTACAGCCTGTGGGCCATGTGTGGCCTGCTGGGTGTTTTGCTGCTGCTGCCTGTCCTGCTTAGCAGCCAACTCATCCCGGGGCCTGCAGTCCGGCCCGCCAATGGTCTGAGGGACAGTGAACTGGTCCCCTGTTTAAAAAGTTTGAGGACACCTGTTCTAACATCATAGTGGTTGAGCTCTTATTTATCAGTCTATGAAGAATGCTTTTTGGGGTTCCTGTGAATATCTGGACCCCTTGTAGTGTGTCTGTGGCCCGAGAGGGTTCAAAAGCTCTCAGTGGACACTGCTGCCTCTTAAAGAGTACTGACTGCTACTGCATGAAGCTTGGAAGCATTGTCTGATCATGGTTAGGAGTTCTCATACATAGTGGGCATCCTTACAAAGCCAGCAGATGAAGACAACATAGAGAAAAGTGCACAGTGACATCAAATATGCATCCCTGAAAAAGCTGCAAATAGAACTGGTCAAGACCTCTGCATGTCCGTATGTTTTGTAGGTGCAGGTTTTAGCTCTTAAGATGCTATGTGAGAAGCTGAAATTCTTCTTTTGTTTTCTTTTTGAGACAGAGCCTCACTTTATCACCCTTGGTGGAGTGCTGTGGTGGCACAACTCATAGCAACCTCCAACTCCTGGGCTTAGAGGCAATTCTCTGCC